TTTATTTGAAAGAGTTTCACAGCAGGAGAGAGGCTATAAATATTTTGAATATAAATTGATTTGCAGTTAGAGAAATTGAATTCTAGTCTATAATAAAAAATGGCTAATTTTCATTTCTCTGGTTTGTATGAGAGTAATGTAGATATGAATCATTTAAATATTCTGCCTCACTTTTGTTTTTTCTCATACCTTTTGCCATGGTGCCTGCTAGTCTTTCTGCCAAGTGTGCTATTTCTCCCCCAGTCCCTGCTATGGCTAACTCCTGCCTCTTTGTCAGGTCATCATTCACTAGGAAGCCTCACATCTCCAGTAGTTCATATAGATTCCTCCCATAGCTATCCCACTTTTCTGCTTCTTGAGAGCAAAAAACGTATGTTAACTCTTGGTGTCTAGTATTCTTAGTGCTTAGTAATGTCCTGGTATACAGTAGACCCTCAGTAAACATGTGGAATGAATATTCTAAATGCATTTTTAACATTTGGAAAAATGCCTTCATTATATCTCTTCATCTTACACATTGGATTACAGTAAGACATACTTTCTATTAGAGTTTCCCTTAGAAATTATGTTATATATTATGTCCTTTGCTAAGGACATGATCAAGTACACTGTAGAAGATTTATTTAATTTATGATGTATCTAAAGCTGTGCTTGAAACATAATAAGCAGACATTCATAAACTTCCTAAAGCACTGTGAAGTTCATTTATGAATTTGTTTCTCTACATTTTTATATCACCTAGCAATTTACCATGTGCTTTTATTTCTATTATCTCATCTGATCCTCTCATTAACATTAGACAGGTATTGTCTCTGGTGCACATATCAGGAATGACTATGGCTCTAGTCTGGCGTCACACAGGTAGTTAGTTAAAAGCTCAGACTAGAATGCAGGTGTTCTTCAGTATTATATTCTTTCTATTATGTGTGTGGGCGTGAAGGCCAGGAAGGGCCATCAGCTTGGGGGGACCAGAGCAGAGGTAGAGGTTCCAGGTGGAGGGTGATGGACAGGAGAGGGAATGTTTGTGGGGAATCTCAGGCAGTTGCTTTAGCTGAAGAATAGGTTGTGATGTTGGAACTAAGGTAAGATTAGAAAAGCAATTAGAATCAGTGTTGGGAGCAAGTGAAAGAAATGGGACTTCATACTGTGGGAAGTGAGAGATATTAAAAATGTGTGACTAGGTGACTGAAGATTGTAGCTCTCCTTTAGGACTTATTAGTACTGTAGGAGATGCATTAGAATTAGGGAGAAACTGGAAGCAGTGTGACTCCAGGCAACTCATGCGATGTTTCAGGTGAAAAATAACTCAATTCTGGGCCAACAACACAAAGTTTAGTCAGAAAAGGGGACAGTGAGTCAATTCATGAGATACTTGGGAGTGCTCATTAACAAAGTGTGTTGGCGGAATGATGCCTGAGACAAGGGGAAAGGAAGAAACTTAGCAGCGTGTTGTCTACAAGGTGATGGGAACAGACTCCCACCATGTCCCTGGCCCATCTTCACCCTGCTCGGGGATTCCTCCCCGCTGACCACATTGGACCACGTGTGCTAGTACAGTCAGCACGTCTCAGGTGTTAAGGGTCAGTGAACACCACAGTCCCTGCCCTCAAAGAACTCATTGTCGGGGGGTAGGAGCTTCAGGTCAACAATATTGGAAAGGATGCGTTGCTCTACGTAGCACATGCCATTAGGACACAGAGGGCACCCAGTTCAGCCCACATAGGCCTGGAAAGGAGACTCAGTTACCTGTCTTGAAGGAGTAGGAGTGAGTCTGGTGAAGAAAGTGAGCAGGATGTTCTGTGTAGAGAGCAGCATGTTTGAAGGCGAGAACTAGAGAACATGGGACTGTGGTGTAAGCTGTTGGTGAGCCTGAAAGTGTCGGCATCGATCTCCTAAGAGCAATGGAATTATTTTGCCTATCCATAATATAATTAATCATCACACTCAGGTATCCTAACGTTGGTACAATATAATTCTTTAACATCCAGTGCATTGTCAAATTTCTCCAGTTATCTCAATAATGTCATTTATAACCTTTTCACTTTTCAAGAGCTAATCAGAGATTGTATGTTGCATTTACTTGTCATATCTCTTTAATCTAGAATGGTTTTCTGACTTTTTCTTTATTTTTCTCTTGGCCATTTATGATATTGATGATTTTTAAGAACCCAGGCCAATTTGGTTTCACTTATGTGGAATGTAAAGAATGAAATAAACGAACAAACAAAATTGAAACAGACTCAGACACAGACATGGGACTGGTGATTGCCAGAGGGGAGGGATGTTTGGGGACTGGGTGAAAGAGGTGAAGGGATTAAGAAGTACAGATGGGTAGTTACAAAATTGTCATGGGGATGTAAAGTACAGCAAAGGGAATACAGTCAATAATGTGACAACTATGTATGGTGCCAGGTGGGTACCAGAAATAACAAGGGGGTCACTTTGTAAAGTCTTTTAACCACTATGCTGTACAGCTAAAACCAATACAAAATAATACTGAAAGTAAACTGTAATTGAAAACTTAAAAATAAATAAATTAAAAGTGGTAAAAAGGAAAAAAAAAGAAATGAACCCAGGGCAATTGTCATGCAGAATGTTTCTCAGGATTTGTCTGGTTGTTTCCTTCCATTTAGATTCAGGTTAAATATTTGTGTGCAAAGTATTGCACACGTTATGTTGTCCTGCCTCAGTGCATCACTTCAGAAGGCAGTTGTCAGTGTGTCCTATCATCCTGACATCAATAATTTGATTATTTGGGTAAGGTCATATCAGCCAGATTTCTCCACATTCTGTTCCCCTCAGCTTTATACAGATTGGTTTTGTAACCACTGATGATTTCTGCCTGAATCAGTTCTTACTATGTGAGTTGTAATACGGTGATTTTTCTATTTCTCTCATATCTGGCTCCCTTGTATTAATGGAACTCAGTCTTCTTTATCTCTTTGACATCTACTAGTTTATGGTCTTCTTTAAAGAAGAGTTTTCTCTTCCCTCATGTTTATTTTTTAATATTTTAGTATCAATATGGATGCATGCTTCTTTTTTTCCTGTGTGTAATAATCCATTCCCATCATTACTTATTCAGTGCTCAAATTGTCCTGTATTTGTCTAAAGCTGCCCTTCAGCCTGGCTCCTCTGCCTTTTTGACACGTCTATCTAACTTTGAGCACTTTCGTGTTTTCTGGCTCATTTCACAATATCTTCATCTCAGCCCTAAAATCAGCCATTTCTCTAAGTATTCTGCTTTCTGTTAGTAAGCAATGATACTTAGACACCAAGGTCCAAGAGCCAGGTATGCACATTACTAGTGCAATGTCATTACTTCTGGGCTCTTTGGGGCCACAAAGTGAGGAAAAGTATTTTTTTTAAACCTTGAGCTTATATGATACTTTTGAATCTAATCCAATACTCCATAGCTCTTCCTCTCCTTGTATCATTTTATATTTGTATTTCCTTTCCCTCAGTGAGCAACAAAAACATATTTACCCATCTGTTCCACCTTATAATACACACAATAACTTCAGGATCACTATGTCAATACCACTACCACTACCAATAGTAGACTTACTAAGGAAAATTCAAATTTTCTTTGTAGTTCTTTTGTTTTCCTTAAAATGTATGCCATTTATCTCATGCTTGTTTTCTTAACATTTTAGATTTTTTAAATGTTTCCTTTTACTAATGAAATACATTCAAAATCTTAAATGTTCCGCATTACCTATAGTTCTCTTTAGGAAAAATATAGTTGAGTTTGGGTGTAAATTTTCAAAGATAGCTAGGTAGTTTCTAAATAAAGTGCCTTAACTATTTAATGTATTTTAATTAAAATACCCATCAAGCCACTTTAGAATTAAATTCACATGTAAATTAACAATCTCCAAATGTTCTATTTATCACCCACTTTTTTTATTACACCTACAAGGTTTAGTACTTTTCTAAATATATGAATTAGAACCAGATGGAAAAGGGGTCGATGCATATTTATATTTATATATAGTTTGTAAACTGTAAGTTTTTTATTTGTATTCTACTGTATTCGTCATCTGTTCCCTATCAAGCGATTACATCTCAAAACAACGAAAGAAAAATTCCAGAGGAAAATAGTTTTCTATTACTTTAGACATAACAATATACTAGCCGTACAATTTCATAGAGAATGCCTGCAAGTAAACTCTAAGGGACAAAAATCTTTGGTGTTTCTTTGTATTTTAGTTGGGCCAGTAGTATTGTTGAAGCTTTTTCCCCCAGCTTTCTTTAAATAACATTTAGCATTGACAACTATAAATAGCTATGATTACAAGAAAATCTGATATTAGTAGAGAGAATTGGCCCTACAACTCCATCATTAATCATATATAGAATATCAACCTAAACTAATCGTAATGTAATGCAGTCCTTTAGATTCTGAGATCCTCCCTTTGTTTTTCATTATAGAAGACAAACATTTCATGCATTCTGTAAAAATTTGTAGGTTATTGTTTGTCACCTAAAATTAGGGGACGATTATCCTCTGATATAAAGAACCAGTCGTTGGAAGCATGTGCTCAAAAGTTAGCCTGGAAATACCATTTTGTGCAATAAGTTTAGACAGCAGAATATCAGTAACACCAACAAAAGCACTCCCACATCTGGTGAATTTTAGCACAGAAACTGATGCTTTGAAAATAACCCATTTCTGCAAGGGAAATGTTATTTATGATAACCTGAGACAGAGATATGAGGAGAACCACATTCCCTTTAAAGTTATTGTGTCATTGGACTATAAAAGCAGTGCTGTGAAGTGAATCAGTGGAACTCAGTTCTCTATAGTGGACGGTAGCACAGGCACTAATGAGACAGATTTCATTAAAAGATATTTGATTTATGAGAAAGGTAAAGTCCTATCATATTTTTAAATTGCTGGCTTAGTCCTGGCATCTGATCTCTTTCCCCTACCATCGCCATCACGCTTCTGTGTATGCTTGACATTGCTATGGTAACCCCTGCATCTCTTCTCACAGAGGGTGATGAGACGGGAGTGATGGATAGTCTGCTGGAGGCCTTGCAGTCGGGGGCTGCCTTCCGCGACCGAAGGAAAAGGACACCGAAGCCAAAAGGTGAACGTTATACTTGTTTCATGTTACTTTCTAGGGAACTATCACAAAGAACAACCCTTTTATATTTTTTAATTCTTTTAAAGTCATATGTCAAGAATGTAGTGCCGTGGGCAACAACTCTTCTGAAGTTTCATAAGTTTTCTTAATCCTTCCCTTGCGATGACAAATGTCAGAGAGAGAAGCATTCCAGTTGGCCAGTGTCAGTAGCACATTACAAATCAATGTACTGAACCCAGGAAATCTGATTAGTGTGACAAGTCTCAGCTAAAGAACCATATGTACTTTATCCCAGTGGAGTTCACAGTGGCATAATTAAATGGGAAGTAAAAGTCATAACATTATTGCTTTGCTTCCAGAAATACTTAACCTTGGAAAAAATACTGTTACACTTCTGGAGAGGAACAGACCTCTCTATTAAGTTTCTTTTATATTTTTGTTTTAACAGATATCCGGCAGAGTCTCAGTCCCATGTCTCAGAGGCCTGTTCTGAAAGTTTGTAACCATGGTAATAAACAGTATTCATAAATTGCACATTCTTATCCACTTTATCCTGTTGATCTGTGACTTTAGGAAGCTGCTGTGAAGTTCTCAAGTTTCAATATAACCCTAATAGTAAAAACATGTGGATCTCCACATTTGTTATGAGATGGTATACTCAGATTCTGCCTCCTGACAGTAGTGCCTGAGATAGTGGCTAGGGTTCTTCTGTCAGGTCTTGAGTGAATTTCTTATTATTATTATTATTTGAAGTGACCTCACACATTTCTGATCTGTGTTGTCCAGTGTATTCTCTCAAAAGCATTGTGCTCTCATAATACTACTTTAAGTAGTGGATTTACTTTACATCAAGATACAATTTGAAATGTTGAATCTGTTGCCTATTTTACTCTACCATATTTGCCAGTACAGTTTGAAATACTATGACAAGCATTTTGGCAAAATCATTAATACAGATGAACTTCATGTGATATTCTGGATGGATGTGCTAGAATCACTAAAAAGAAGGTAAGTTAACTTAGTCTCTGATTTTTATGAGATTTAGTCCTTTCAAAAATCCCTACGAGACTGGTGCACACCCAGCCTCAAGGTGCTAGTTTGTGTTGACTGGGCTTCATTTACGTTGGTTCCCTTTTTCTCACTGTTACGTATTATGGGTTCTGCTTACCTTCCTTAGTCAAAAACAAATTCATCCATTGTGATCACCATTTACTCAGAGTGAGAGTGTCGCCAAATTCACCAGATTTGTAAATGGAAAAATACTTCACAGATTGCTTTCAAGGGTGGTTTGGGGTACAGATGAGTTAAGCAGTTAAGTTCTAGTACTGATGTATGACCGAGTAGAGAAACGTGTCGAATTTTTAGGAGAGGCTAAAAAATGATGAGGTAACTAAGAAAAAGAGATGGATATAATGATCTCTTAATAACTATGGATCCCTACTGCTCAAGGTAAAATACATATGGCAGATGCTTAATAAATGGTGAAACCCTGCAGCAAAATTTTATATAGATCTTTTGACTTTTTTCAGCAGCATGTTGTTGTTGTTTTGCCTTCTACTCTAACAATGGGAAAAGGGAATTGTAATAAATCAGAGAAATTTATTGTAGATAATTAGTTCCTAATTTGGGGTTTATGATTTAGAGTCATTGCGACATACAAAGTAATGGCGAACAGTGTTTTCCTGAACCTTAGAGATTATTTTGTTTCATAGATGAATACATGGGAAACTGAGGCTAAAAACTTCTCAAACTACACAGCTAGTTATTGACACAACTATGGTGATGATATAGTTCTGATTTCCATCACATTTCTCTTTTGATTGCATATAGGTACTTTGGTTATACTTTATTAGTAGTAAAATATATAAAATAAGTAACTCAGCCCACTTTGTAAGTCATTAAAGGACCATAGCCAACACAGTGATCATGGTATGATTATACCAAACGTGTAGCCCCAGCCTGTTCGGCTCAGTGGTTAGAGCATAGGCCATGGACTGAAGGGTCGTGGGTTCAGTTCTGGTCAAGGGCACATACCTGTCTCTCTCACATCGATGTCTCCTCCTCTCTCTCTCTCTGAAAAACAATGGAAAAAAATCCTCAGGTGAGGATTAAAAATAATAATAATAATAATGGCAAACATGTACCCCTGCCATGCTTAAATTTTAATAACTAGGTATAATGTTGGGGCAAATTATTTCAGATAAATTTGTGCACTGGCCTCAGGAACCCTGTCCTTCTGTGACTGATTTAAGAAAGTGTCTAGGCTACAGAGGCTCCTGTATAATTACATATAAATTGTGATATTTCAATCCACTTGGTAAAAGCAGATGAGAATTGCATTCTATCTTTACTAGAGGTTATAGAAAGCCAAAGGAGATATACCACAAATATCAAATTCTCTGTTGTAATATAAATGTAGTGGACTGACATGTTTCTGAAACTTATTTTTTATTGATATTTCTGCTGTGTTTTCCCTTCACATTTTTAAGCAAGTGAGAACAAAATCCAAATGACCAAATTAATCTTTAAGAACTGTTTGTATAACGATAGATTTATTGGACTAGATGTTGAAAAATGAAGAATATGGTAAGGAAAGTATATTCATTGCAACAAGGATCATGATTAGTTTGACAAAATGATATTTTAGAGTCTATTTGTAATCTTCCTATTTCTAAAAATTGTTTTCATTGAAAACTAAACTATGTGATTGAAATGTAACACGTAACACCTTTTACTTTTTAATTTGCTTTCATTTACTTAAACAAAACTAATGTTTGATATTTAGATTTTCTACAAATATATAGTAGTTGATATTATGTCTTAACTATTTTTTTTAAATATATTTTTATTGATTTCAGAGAGAGGAAAGGAAAGGGAGAGAAATGGAAACATCAATGATGAGTCATTGATCGGCTGCTTCCTGCAAGCCCCCTGCTAGGGATCGAGTCTGCAACCCAGGCATGTGCCCTGACGGGGTGTCAAACTGTGACCTGCTGATTCATAGGTCGACACACAACCACTGAGCCAAGTAGGCCGGGCTATGTTGTAACTATCTTTAAAAGATTTATATGATTTTCTGCATGGTTACTAAATGCCAAGCACTATGCTGAATATTTTATGTACATCCCATTTAATCTTTTCAGTACTCCTATCAAGTAGTCAACATGTTTATCTTCATTTTAGAGTTAAAAATAACCAAGGGTTAGACAGGTCCGATAGTTTGCTTAAGGTCTTGCCGTCAAATTTCGAACCCAGGCCTATCTGGTTCTTAATCTCTCTGCCATGACGTGCTCTGAATCATCTGCTTGAATCAGTACCTGTCATTCCCATCCTTGAGCTGATGAGCTGGTGTACATTTTTTTCTCATGATATAAGGTTGAACTATTGAGATACACCCTCTTTGAGGTTTCTAGTCTCTGGTGTGTCTAGTCTCTTACTCCTAGATTGAACCACTAGGTAGCACTCTTTTCCTCGTCTGAGGCTGGATTACAAGGATATACCATCTTCTGGAATTATGACTACTTTTTATCCCTTTAATAAACTATATTAAAACATCTATATTAATTTAAATAAATGTATACTGTATTAGAAAGATCATAGATGATTAAGATTATAAATATAGATTGAGAAATATATATATTGCATATTTTATTTTAGAATTAGAAAATCCTGATAAAGTATCCTCTGAGACCTTGGTACATATATATTTTGGCAAAAGATGACCTCAAGCATTCTAACTTCTTTGGGCTTCAGAAGCACAGAAATTGTACACACTGAGTAACCCAGCCCTTGTGCTGTTCTCCAAACTTCTAACAAAAATACTTTGGTTAAAGCCTTTACCTGTTTTGTCTTTCTGTTTGCTTGTTAAAGTCTAGGCAGAAATTAAGTGTTTGGTGTTTTTCCTTGCTAAATCTTCATTAAGTTAGCAAAATCTATTGAACACTTGCTAGGCACTTAAGATAAAGAGATACCCTCTAAGAATTCTCCATCCAGTTGGAAAATAGATGAGTAATGACTCTCATACCTGTGTATTTGCTTAATGCCAAGTTAAGGGTAGCACGCAGAGTCTGAACAACTAGTTCAGACCTGGCTTCTAGAAGGACTTGAGTTTTGACGGATGAGTGGAAGTGAGGCCAAAACCTGAGGACAAAGGGAAGCCAAGAAAGCAGCCGCATGTGCATACTTTCTCAAGAGGTCCTTTTCAAACCCCATTCTGAACTTTATATGCTCTTATTCTCACATTATTAGCTAATACAATAATGCTTTTATTAGCACCCTAGTCTTTCCCATTTTGCAATACTCATTTTCTTAAAAATGTTCATATTCAATGTCTGTTACTTTACTTATGAGCCTCTTCAGGGTGGGGTCAAAGCAATAAAGGAGGGTGTCTGTCTTGCTACTGCTGTGACCCCAGTACTTAGCTGGGTTAGTGCCTGATACATGGATGTTTAGTAAGAATGTATTGAATGAGCAGACATGTTTAGGTTTAGGCTTGAATGGGACAATTAATGTATATTGAGCAAAAGTAGGTCTCTCAGTATCACCCAAATAAGTGGGATTATATGCCAGTTGCTGAAGTTCAGGCTGTGCACACTATTAATCCCCTCATCTCCCTAAAATGTTATCTGAAGGAGATACTTGATCATCATTGGTCTAGGCTTCAAAAGGTTGGTAGATCAGATGTGGAGGGTGCAGGTTAATCTTGATTGGATGATTCACTCCTTAGAAATGGAAGGTTACTTATGAGTTAAAATTTTTCCCCTTGCTTAATTAAGTTTAACAAAAGTAAATAAAACAAAACAAAAAACATCTTAAGTATAGGGCACTGTCTCATTTCTTTCCTCAACAGAGTGCATTCTAGACTTAAAGATTTTCTCTAGTCTGTAGAAAATAATAAAATTTCCTTTTAAGTCAAGATAATGTAAGTATTTATTAATACATTTTTATAAAGTTCTTACCTTTTTTGGGTGTTACCAAATCAACTGGCCTAATTGAAAATAAAGGACCAGATAGGGGCAAAATATATTGAGAATCTGATGCCAGACCAAGAATTTGGACTATTGAGGTTTCTGAGCAAGAAAATGACAGGTCTGCCCTGGCCACTGTGGCTTGGTTGGGCATCGCCCCATGTGCCAAAAGCTGCAGGTTTGATTCCTGGTCAGGGAACATGCCTGAGTTGCAGCCTCCATCCCCGGTAAGGGGCCTGCAGGAGGCAGCTGATCGATGTTTCTCTCTCTCCCTTCGTCTCTCTCTCTAAAAATCAATAAAATGTCTTCAAAAAAAAAAGAAAAAACGGCAGGTGTGAGAAGTTTGTTGGAACTGAAATGACAACTGTCTGAGAGAGAAAAGAATCTAAAGGACTTTACAGCTACCTTGATGCTGACATGAGTTGGCTGCAAGGGGTCAGGACAGANTTCATTGCAACAAGGATCATGATTAGTTTGACAAAATGATATTTTAGAGTCTATTTGTAATCTTCCTATTTCTAAAAATTGTTTTCATTGAAAA